GCCCTCCTGACCCTACTTTTCTTCGCTCTCCCCCACCAGGCTCTAGGTTCGCCCTCCCAAATCAGTCCCTGTGACACCCCCCCCCACACCCCCTTTATTCACTTCGTTCACCCTAAGAACTCAAGCCTTGCCTATCGGCTGGCTTTCGTGATAATACATACAACTGTTATAATATATCATAAATCTATTTGCTTATTAACTTGGGAGATCCTGGCCGAAAGCCTTCATGTCAACAGTCTTTAAGAAATACATATTGTAGATGTGCCTATGTGCCACCCTGCTGTGGTGGAAATGGCAACCTTGATGATGTATTCTGGTCGGTTCAAGCCACATGGCATAAAGGTCAGGAAATCCGTCACTCCTAGGTCTACCTGCCTGCGCAAGCATCCAAAGACATCCACATGCAAAATGCACCGTGTAGAATTCCCAAGCTAGCCCGAGCTCCGGGCTCAATAGCCCCGTCAACGTGCTGCCGACGCCTGCCTGAGCGTTTCGAACTTCCTCTCTGTTTCGGTCATAGCCGGAGTCACAGTCGTCTGGCGGAAAGGGCCTTTTTTCAGTTCAAGTCAACAGTGAATCAGGTCGTGTTGATGCTAGGTGATGCTGCGAAAAAAAATATATTGACAACTAAGACAATACTTTAGTCCGGTTCCCGCACGTATTTTCACGCATTAAGGCGACGGCAACGCACGCCATTCCACCAACTGAGGCACCGCCAGGCACAGGAGAAAATTGCAGCAATACACACCCACCACAAAGGCTTTCTGGTACTGCAAGCTGATGGGTAGTTGAAGAAGGTCAGGTTCTTTAGCTTCGTCGTCGGGGTCCTTGGTGCTGGCTGTGGCACAAATGGGAGATTGAGGCGAAACAGTTGTTTGCAGGCTTGCCTTGTGAGCTTGGAAGAGCACCAAGCTGTGTGCACACATCACGAAATCAAAACATTTAATTCCCTTAAAACAAGAACTCTCAAAGTGGTTCCTCTTGCTGTAAACTGGTTAGAAGCTCTGCTACCCAGATACTGGCACCTCCTCCTCTACGCGCACCGCCATCTCATCCTCGCTCGTTTTCGATGACAGGCTGTCTTTCCTTGATGTTCTCTTTCGCTTTGGTACTGCTTTGGCTTTGCCAGCACAGAATAGCATCACGGTCCCCAAAGCAGTGGTGATCCTTGCTCACACACATGCCCACATGCCCGTTTCGATTCGTCGTTTCTGGTCATGGCCGCGATCACATCTACAACATCTCGTCATTGCCTAAACCGTCTATGGTCGGACTGGCCGAACCCAGTGAAGACTGGCTGACAACATGTGCCTGCAACCTCAACCAACATCTGCGCCGATCCTATCAAAAATTCTATGATCGATTCAAATATCCCTGCCTTAGGAACCGCAAAATGTGGGATACCGCGAAACCGAACATTTGTCACTGAGCAAAGCACGACGGAAGTTGAATCAGCCCAAGTCGGTGTCTTCTTCGCTTCCCTGCTGTTTTTTTGCGACCGCTTGCAAGCCAAGTGGCAAGTACATACAAACCATCACTGCCACATGCCTCGCTGCGAGGCATTGGGGGACAAGCATGGACGAGCTGACAAGTTGTGCAAAGCAGTCCATCTGCCAAAAGCCGCAGAATCACAACTGCTTGCCTTCTGCACTGATTCTGCCGGGGCCAAAGGACTGAACTAAACTTAAGTTTGCCAAGTTTCAGTCTCTAGTGCTAGATTCATGTATCATGGCTACAGATACAACCTACAACCAGCCACGAAGTCAGTGCAACCTAGCAACAAGACTGTCAAATTCCCATGCTGCCATGCCATCCACTTGCCCTAGAACTGTCATTCTTTCTCTCGCCAAGGCACAGAATGCTTCTCTCCATCGCCTGCGCCGCGTCTTCTACCGGGGTCCGCGTTGGCACCAACTGCAGGGCGTCGAAGGCGAGGACCGGCGACGCGATGTCGTTCTCCATGGAGCGCCGACGACCCGGGGCGAGGGCGAGGTGACCGGCGTGCCTTCGGCACGAAGCTCTCAAGCGAACGCGGGCAGAAACTGTGGTGACATCCAGAAAAAGGCATCTGTTGGCCTAGACCATTTCGGATCCCGTCCTGTTTGCTTTCCCGTGAACCCACATCAAAATCATTCAAAATCATGTTCTTCAATGAGATGTCTGATATGCCTGCATCAAAGCTTTGCAACGCAGCTCTGCAACCCGCAAACCGACAGCCGGGAGCAAAGCACAAAGCCTTTAAAGTTTTGCCCGTCAAACATTCCGTCCCACTCAGCCCCGTAAAACTCCCATCGTGCGAAGTGTCTCCTCCCCACAGTCTGTCTCTTCGCGCGCGAAGCCAACAATAAGGCAAACACCCAAGTGAGACCAGCACCCCCTCCTCCTCCTGCTCTTTCCATCCCTGCTGCGCGGCCCAGATAGCCCGATATATATATATATATATGCCGAGTTACTTCTCTCCAGCCCGAGTTCTTCGCAACCTTCCTCACACTTCCCCTTCTTTCCCACCAGCCACGTCTCATCCATCTCTTCCGGATCGTCTTTGCTCACCTCTTCCTTTTCTCCTTCTCTGCAGCTCGCGCTCCCCAAACATTCTACCCAGCTTCTGTTTGGCAACTCTTCTCTCAAGTCCCTTCTCAACATCCTCTGTTCCCCTAGTCATCTCCGAAGCCGCGGGCTTAGTAATTAGCTCCTTCTCTCTATCCCTTCCAATGCTCCACAGCCCCTGCTCCTCAGTCCGTGTGTGGAGCTCGCCCACATGTTCTTCCAAGTTTCACAGGAGCAATGTACTGAGCACTCGTTGGGTTTTCCAAGCGAGCCCAATTATCACCGCAAACACCGCCCAACGGCGGCAGGTGGCTGCACAGAGTGTATGCATCTACAAGCCATTGGCTAGAACTTGTTGGGCGCGTTCTCCCATTGACTCATGGTTCTGTCGTGTTGAGGTTTGAGCTCTTTCAACAGCTTTGCATTCATTTTGTTCACCTTGGCAAAACGATGGCTCTTCTTGCTTGCAGATGCAAATCAGACGTCACTTCTTCACATCCAGCTCAATCAGACCTGAGGCACGAATGGATATCCAAATCAACTTCTGTAACGGGCGAAGGTGGCCACCTTTTTAAGATATGAGTTCCTATTTGCGGGATTGCAGAATGGATGAGTCTCGATGCATTGAAAGACCTGGAAGGTGGTGTAGATTTTCCACCAATGTGTTGTTATCCTATGCTATATTTATGTCCTATGTTTATATGCACCAATGTGTTGTCCTATATCATATATGTTCATCTATATTTATGTCCTGTGTGTTAACCAAGTTGGTCTTGTGGAGGAGAAATTCTCTTCGAGAAGCGATGCGTGTAGCCAGGAACGGGTCATCCCAAGCACAACTGGCAACGTATCACAACCTTGCAAATAATTATCCTCCAAAACTGGCTCTGTGATCTCTATGTCAAGTTTCTGCTCTGCTGTTCAACCTGAATGGAGGTCAACTGGGGTTCATCTTTCATTGGCAGCTAGCAACTAGTCACTGGGCAGTTCACTTGCAATGCCTGGATGATTTTTGTCCAGTCAACAGGGAGCTAGTTGCCACATTCTCTTGCATCTAAATTGCGAAGTGCTCCAGTTTGTTTGCGCTGTTCTATGTGTGTTGGGAGCATCAACATGCAGACTTTGGGAAGCGAACCACCTCCACCTCCACCCGACCACCTCCACCTCCACCCGACCGGGACCACAAACCAAGGAACGCCATGGGGCGCGGGCGCTATGCTGCCTGAGCAGTTGAGCCGAGCCAAGCAAGAGGGGTCGCTTTGATCAGCAAGACAAACACTGGCTGTTTACGAGAAACGACTGACTTGTGGTGTTCTTGGATTTCTTGAAGTGAGGAGAATAACTACTAGCCGTTTCTGCTAATCAAACAATGTCTACTGTGACCGTTGAGGGCGTCTGTGCGTTCATCCACTTTTCTTGTCTCAGTCTTCAAGTTCAACATCCATTTTTTGTGCCACGGGGTGAGCCTTTCCCTCTGCTTTCATCATTGAACGTGACGGGGGCTTCATAATCTTCATGGCGTAGAGCTGCTGTGGTGCAACTTCCTTCACCTTCCCAAAACCCCGATAGTGTAAGGCATAGAACAGCTCTGTGGCCGTTCCATCCATGCCGGAATCCGAAGATGGGATCCTACAACTCCTCTGCCGCAGAAACAACCAACATGAGTTCTGTGGTGTGTATAGGATTATGGCCATGTCCAGTGGACGTACAAAACATCCAAAAACAACTTTCGAGGAGTGGGGTCTGGGATTGGATTCGGTGGAAGGAATTATTCTATGAAGTGTGTAACCCATTGTGGTCGCCAAAATCACCCGTTGGGGTCGTATTCCATCCAGATCCCAGGCACACCTCATGAAGATCGAGTCCAGTGTGGTCGACCCAAGCTGGGATGATTCCACCGACCAGTTTGGAAGGACGGGATGTGGAAAAAAAGAAACCGCCTGTTTATATAGATCAACCGTAGCAGTCCCTTCCCATGTTCCCCACGGCTTTGGTGGAAGGTGTCCAACTAACTCCCTGTCGGCCCGATCGTCTCCGTGCGGAACGTGCGGGGTCGATGGGTCACTGTGAACGGAGCTTTTCTGTGAGACTGGTATCTACTCCTCTGGGATTTCTGCAAGCAACCTCAAATTCAGCACAAAAGCGTCCTCTGTCTGACATCTTACCACTAACTATTGAATGGCAAATCCCTGTAGGGATTCTCGGCGAGCCTCTTGAGGCTGGTCGGCTCATCACTGCGTGGGCCGTGGAAGTCTTCAGAGTCAAACGAGTAGTGATCGATTTAAAAGAGACCTACAAAGCTGCTGACCGATCTGGGTTCAACATTAGTTCAACACACAATACATGCAAAATTGAAAAATTGCCTGCATGCACTACAGGCCTAGGGATATGGGCACAACACTGTCTGATCATCCAAGCTTGGTGCTAAAACTACATCGGTCTGAAAGTCTGAGACTTGGGCACTGAGTGGATTCCAGCAACGGAGTGACTTCATCAGACAAGAAAGCTTCACGAAACATCGATTGGGTAGCTACGGTGCGCAAACCAAACACTTAATTCAATTCAACTCCCTTTTTCTGCTGCGACTGCGAGCCTCCATCAGTGGTTTTGGACGGTAACTCGGCACTGAGCAAGCACTGAGCGCTCGTGCGTGTGGCTTCTCTTGGGTTTCCCAAATGAGCCAGCCAACTGATTTCTGCCCAACGGCAGCACCGGCAAAAAGGTCAAAGCGAAGGCTCGACGTGCAGCACGAGGTGGCTGCAGAGTGTGTGTGCGTCTATGAATTCTGAGGCATTGGCCAGAACTCGTTGGGTGTGTTCCTTTTCTCGTAGTGTTTACATGTTTCTTTTACCATGTCAAGGCTTCGGCTCTTTAGACACCGATGCATTCGTTGTTCCAACTGTTTACCCTTGCAAATCAATACTTGATCTGTCTGTCAAGTCTCCAGCTTTCGGGCCCCTCTTTCTGGCAGATGCACACACACAATTGGAAATATAACGAAATATATCATATACACCCAGTTCAGTCAGACTTGAGTCAGTCGTGTATGCCCAATGCAACTTCTATACGTGTGCAAGGCATTCCCACCATCAAACCCAAACACGAGAATGTCTTGAGTGTTGCATTGGGGTGCAGTGAGATCTGCAACCGACCAAAGTCCTTTCTAAGAGCTGGGGTGCACTGGGCTTTGCCCTTTGTTCTGCGAGTCAAGATTCGTTTGCAACCTCAACAAGCCTTGCAGGTCAGCAAATTCAATCAGTGCTGATAATATCAACATCATACTCATCGTACTCCAAAACCAACACAGACCATCACAGGACTAGGAAACATCAGGAGGTTTTGGAATTCGGACTGAGCACTGAGCAAGCATTCAGCACTTGTGTCTCTGGCTGCTTGTGCTAATTTCTTGCCGTCCAAAGGCTGGTCAAAGTGCAAATTCGATATACAGGACGATTTCGCTGCAGAGTGTGTACTTATTGGCCAGAATCGCGACCATAGCTAGTTGAGCGCGATGCATTCGTTGTTCCAACTTCTTATCCAGGCAGAGCGATTTGTACTTCATCTGTCTGGCCCCTCTTTCTGGCCAATACACACAATGTCAGAAATACGTTAACTACTTTGAGTAAACACCCAGTTCAGTCAGACTTGAGTCAGTCATGAATGCCCAATGCAACTTCTATACGTGCGCAAGGCATTCCCACCATCAAACCCAAACACGAGAATGTCATGACTGCAGTGAGACCGACCGAAGTCCGCTCTAAGAGCTGGGCAGGTGAGCTGGACAGGTGTCCTGGGGCCCCTTGTTCTCCGAGTCAAGATTCTTTTGCAGCCTCAACAAGCCTGCAGAGCAGCAAATCCAAATATGTTTCAGATAAGTAATTCAATTATTAGTTATATATAGTTTTAACAAAATTATGCTCCGAAACGAGTACGAAATTTAGTACCCGTTTGGAATCCATATGATTCACACCACCCCCGGCATAATTGGCTCGCAAATGTTGCTTTTCCCACTCAAAACAGGTACTCAATAGTGCCTGTTTCAGAGCTCCATTGTCTTGAAATTATCATTGCTGTATGTCCCGTAAATTATCTTTCTGTGAAAATAGGTATGTCGACGAGGCAAGTTCCTGATTCAACATCAACTCCATGGCCAACAGAGAAGTATGAGTATATAATTTAATTGTGTCATGAAAGATATTTGGTTGGTTACAACATGGTATGTTACTTTGAGCAGGCAGTGGAAAGGACTTTAGATTCTTAGATGGTACAATCCTTCACCGACGGATCCAATCCCGTTGCCGCGTGCCTAGAACCACCTGAAATCCTGACCATGCGCCAATTTCTTCTTTCGCACCATTTCCAACTCCTGACGAGCACTGCTTTCGGTGCTGTCAAAACTTGGCCCGCTGCAGAAAGAACACCTTCGAGCGTTTTGTATGGATGTTAAAGCCATGCACAAGTGCATGGCTAGGAGTGCTAGATCTTATTCTTGCATAATCACATAATCATGAAGGGAAGGTGATGTGCTTCGGGGAATGTTAATAGTAGGGAAGCGGGTCTCACTTTCTTGGTCCATGCTTGTTGAAGATTGAAGCTGCTAGCCTATGTCAAGAATGATGCAAGCCTGAAGGAAGGCTAAAGAGATTTCTCCCGGTGCTCAACACACACTGGGGAAAAAAATGATCGAAAACAGCGACCAATTGCCACCGGTAGGTAGATGAAGTGGTTCGACTAAATTGTGGGAGCAGTTACTGCTGAGGGAGTCAAACGAAACCCGCCGAAATTTAGAGCCACATGTCCCCAGCACCTGTCCCAAAGGTTCAAGGTTGAACGCGCAGAACCGGAAGGACAAGAATCTAATGCAGAGGGGTCTATGCAAACACGGTTCCAAGGGAGGGGCCCCATCAACAGAATTCCAAATGTTATTTTCGATGGTAAAGTGCAATTACACCTGCAACAGCCTGAACAACGAATGGGATGTGATTGAAACACGGCCCAACTATCCAAGCGAGTACACCAAAGTGATCAAGTCCGGCTTCCTCTATTGCGCATAATGTCATTGGCATCGTTTGCATCCCCTTTGCTCAATTAAAGAACATTGAGAGAAAATGAGAAGCATTGGCAAAACGAGTTGTCATTCAATGCAAACAACATATTGTTAAAGTTGCAATTTCTGCAAAATGCACTTTTTATTCCAAGGTGTACAGGTGTAGACACATGTCCACTGTCCACCATGCCGATCGGGGGGGAGACAACTCGAGTTCCGGACAGCATCAGGTGTGGCATAAAAGGGAGCAAAGAGGGAGAACAAGTTCCTCAAAGTGCGACAGAAGCTAATCAGGTGAAATCGACAGTAGAGTTTGTACAGGCGGAATGCCTGTCTGATGAACTAGGCGGAATGCAGATCGCAGTGAGTCAGGTCCAGAAAGTGGAAGTCAGTTCTGACACAGTGAGTGCACAAAGTGGATGTGTCAAATGTTTACGAAGCAGGAGCTTATATCATTGGTCTGCACGGCTCAACCGTTCCACGCGGCACGTTTCACAAAGTCGACCCCTGCATCAAACTCATAGACATTCTCCAGCAGTCGAAGCAAACCCTCTGTTTCAGAGGGTGAATTCCAGAACAGCAATATGAGTGCTTCAAGAAAAGAAACCAAAATCAAGAGTTTCGCCTCCAATACAAACCTTCAAGAAGCAAACTTCACTGTCCAACCCCGCTCGACCCGTCTCAAACCTCGCCTGACGGCCCTGAGCGCTGATGCCTCTGTTCCGACCGATGTAGAGCATCTCCAGGGTCGTGTTCACCTCCAAGGCGTTCACCAAGGCCTGGAGAAAGAGGCTGGAGTTGGCTGGGCGGCGATGTGGAAGAAGAACACTTCGCAGTTTCGTAGCCAAGATATCATTGAACACTCAAGATGCTTCACCTCACCGCAGGCGCCGCAGACCCTGATCTGTTGGGGATTGCCAGTGGAAGGGTCGCTTCGTTTGTCCCTCACATGTTCGTTCCTGGCACAACGCCTCGGTGCCCTCATCACCGATGCCGTTCTCATCAACGTCCAGTCGCCGCAGCGCCGACTTCCTCTCCAGCGCTTTTGCCACGGCCTGGCAGAGATACGAACCACTTCTCCAGCGCCAGACACGAAAGAACCAAGTTGGTGGCCTCTGGGAGATCGTCTTCGGTCAGAAAGTGCCACCGAGGAGAATGGTGTGTCAATGGAGAAATGCTCGTGTGCCTGCCTGATCTTGATGTTTGAGTTGCCTGTCAACTATGCCACACACACATACACATATTAGCCTTGTGTTCTCTGTGCTAAATGGGAAACACTGGGCACTCAACAATGCCAGTTTGCCCGACCATTTGGTGTTCTGCATTAAAGAAAATGTCGAGGTAGGTCGGTGTGGAAGAAATCTGGTGCCTGCGTACGAGAACCGAATTGAGATCAGACACATCATCGTGGTCATCCATGACCCTCAGCGTCTGCCACATTTACCTCCCCTTTCATCCCCGCGCTTGGAAGAGAAACTGACTAGAAGCAACTCATTGAGGTCCTTCTGCACTGAACCCGTCAAAACAACATGTCTCATCCAAGATCTCTTCGGAAATGGTTCCATCCTTCAACCAGATCTGATGAAGGTCCTTTTCCAAACAAACTGGCCTCACCCAAGCACTCCGAGCTGCCTTGACCCCCTCGTCGCCAAGCCCGCAGCCACGCAGCCAAAGTTCCTCCAATGTCAAATGGAGATACATGGCTTCAACCACGGCCTGGCGAAGCAGTGGAATTGGGTGGCAATTCCTGGTGAGAGTCAAGAAGAGTTGGTGTCCGGTCCAACCGACAATGGTCTTTGCGATAAAACCAAAGCTATAATGAGTAGAGCAAATCTGCCTACGAGAGCCAAGCAGAGCAAATTTTCCAAAGAGTGCATTCAATCAAGCCAAGGTCAGATCTTCGTAGCTCGTGTGCCCAGCGTACAGCGATGTTCAGTTGTACTCGCAACCCCGCCGAAGGTCCCTTCCGTTCAGCTTCCCTTCCAGCCGGCCTTGGTCTCCTCCAAATCGAGCTTCATTGCATTCAAACTTAAGGTCTTCTCCTAAACAGCGGCGTCTGGTATGCTTCAGGAAAACAAGAGAGCCATTCAGGAACCTTTGATCAATCGCAAAGCAGTTTAGGCTGAGTCGTGTGCGCAGCTCTACAACAAGAGGCCAATTGAAGTTGTCAGCAATTGGGCATGTCCAACTTCACAACTGCTCCCTTCATGCGACATGTCTGACTTGCGATCAATGACAGGTGAAAATGCATTGCTGCTTCAGGAAATATCCACTCAGACATAATGCATCATAATACAATGTTTTACAAGCATACTGCTGTGCTTTTCAAGTGACCTGCCCTGCTGCGGACGCTTTGTCGGCCCTGCTTAAGGACGTGACGTTGCTTTTCCGCAATTGGTTTAGGGCAGGCAACAAAACGTGCAATTTTGAGGCGAGGTGCTGGGCTCGTTCATTCCCACACACCAGGAGAATTCGGGACAGATCGGTATTGACCATGCGTGCACTCAATTCTCAACAAAACCTCGTCAAACAGTGTGTTGGGAACCTGAAAGGGAACGGCAAAGCTTAAAAGAGGAAGGAACCATTCCAACGAAGCATACCTTTTGTGAGCCACCCGACGGTAAAATTTAGAGGAGAAAGGAGCCAATCACTGAGGGTCAAATCTAGAGGAGGGGAGCCATTCCAAGGAAGCATAGCTTTGGCGCGGCACCAGAGGGAAAATGTTGAAGAGGAAGGAGCCATTCCAACAAAGCATACATTTTGTGAGCCAGCGAAGGCAAAGTTTGGAGGAGGCAGGAGTGATGCCAACGAAGTATACCTGTTGTGAGCCATGAAGAAAGTCCACCATTCACTTGCGACGACCTGTTTCTTTGGGGTGGGGTATGCTAACGTTGAAAAGCACTGGCAGACCTGCAAACAATCCTCACCATCAGGATGGGTGGGGTGGGGTGGGGTGTTTCTTGGTACCAAGGTAAAGGCCTTGTTAAGGCCTCAGTAAGGCCTCAGTTATTGCTAACGGTGTGCTACGAGAAAATGAGCGTCACAAGCGACGAGAACATTAGCGTCACAAGAAGCCCGTCCAAGGTCGCAGACCTTTTGTGAAGGAGTGGTCGGTGAGCGGGGGGTCACCTTGCGCAGCCCCGCTGGCCAAACTCTCTACGTGGGCTCACGGGCTCGGCGCGGGCTCGGCGCGGGCTCGGCGCGGGCTCGCGGGTTCGTGGGCGCTCGGGGGGAGGTCTCGCCGGTGGGGCACCCGCACGGACAACTGGCAAACACGACTTTCAGCGGACTTGGGGTGGGCAGCGGGCTCGCGGAATGGTCGGGGAGCTAGTTAGCACAACTGGGGCCTCAGTCCAACTCGGGGAGCTAGAATGGCCTGGTCCAACGTGGGCATGCCTCAGGTTGGGGATGTTATTGGTGTAGCTTTCAAGGTCGGGCCACGACACTAGCTGATAGACACTAAATCTATCTAAATCTTGCATAGGGTACCCTTGGGCAACATGTTCGATTGAAAATTTTGCATGACAATGTTGTGGGAACACTCTGCCTAACATTCTTCCACCGCATTCTTGCTTGACACTCCGCTGAGAACACTGTGAATTTGCAAAATTTAAACGAAACTGCAAAAGAGTCAGCGTGGCTTTCTTTTGAAGCCCTGCTCATAGGCTTAGCAGGTTGGGTTGCAAAGTATTCTCTAAAATCAAGGTGACACGGTCATCAACCGCTCCCCTTCCCCATTACCGATGCTTGTTTGTAACGCGCGTGGGTGCAGGACCTGCGGGGCCATTTGCTCTGAAGGGTTTACAGAAGCTTAACGACAACACCCCGGAAAAGAGTCAGGATCATCTCTAACAAGCGGACTCCTCCGGGCAGCGCCCTCTTCACCCCTCCGGCCGCTTGGAATTTCAGCGACGTATCGCCACCGAGCATGACCGAAACACAGCACATCCGAGAGAGATTGAACAGCACATATGCCCCGAATAATCCTCAATATTGTTTTAGTGCTCGACTGCAAAAGTGTTGAATGGCTCTTTGAGGGGTCTGAGCGAGTTACATACGTAGATGGTGGGAACCATTGAGAACCTCTCTACACTCTGAAGGAGCCTGCCAGCTCAAGCGCGCTTTCAAGTGCAGCCCAGCTCAAAGAGCCATTCACCACTGGAATCGCATTCTATATATGTGGACACACCTAACCTTGTAGAAATGACTGTCCAAGAGGGCACAGTAGGGCCTGTGTGCAAAAAAGTACTATAACCAACTGGACCACAAGGCAGAAACTGCTACTCCACAAGCCCAGGTCGTGTCGATCAAAACAAAACTTTGTCCGCAGGGCGAACAATCATGGGACCAGCGCATCATAATCGAGAGGATGGTAAAGAATGAACGACTGTTGTTCATATGATGGACGTGGGATCACTTGGGGTGTCCCTGGAAGTGAAACAAAACACAACAACCAATAGAGCAGAATACAAACAGCAAGAGTAGCAAAAGTATAGAAAGCAAGAGAAGCTAGAATAGAGCAATACAAACTCAAGGCTTGAAAAGCAACTATACAATGCAAAGCGACCGCAACAAAGGCCATGGAAAGCAAAAGCATTTTAAACAGGGAAGACAAGAACCAGGAAAGTAAAGAAAAGCAGAAGAAGAGCCAAGAAGACCAAGACAAAAACAAAAGAAGCAAGAAAAGCAGGAGAAATCAGAGGGAAGCACTGAAAAGCAAAGGAAAAGCAAAATAACAAGACAAGCGCAAAAAAGCAGGAAAAGGAAGAAAAGCACGAGTAACCACAGAGAAGCAATAAAAAGCAAGGAAGATCAAGACAAGCACAACAAGCCAGTTGCATTGCTGAACGGGAATGTGAAGGGAAACTGTTCAGTTCGGGTTCGGGTCTGGTTCGGATTCGTGCGGTTTTCCAGCTACTGTGCAATGAACGGTGGCAACAGGAACCGGAACTGCTCGGGTCGGGTTCGGGTTCACACAGCGTATACATAATGTGCTCAGGATGAAACAATGCAGAAGGCTTCAATCGTCGAGGCTTTGATATCATCAGGTTCAAACCTGCATCTGCCTCACAATCGGTTTATGTCCGTCCAACACCCTGCGACATGTACATGAGACACTTGTACGGCGACGCCGCAGTATGCCCCGGCAAATGTTTGAAGCGAAATGTCACACTCTTGCAGCGATCTTGCGACGTTGTCCTGGTGTGCAATGGCTTTGCCAAGCATTTGCAGCGCTTTCAACACCTTTCCATTTTGCTCCTTCAACCATAGCGGCACAGCCAAACATTGAATCTGAGACCAAGCCAGTGACCTGCCTACCTTGTCGCAACAGAATGCCGATGTACATCAAGCAGAATAGAAGGTGTCCAAGCTCGTTGAATTGTAATCACCAAATTCTTGCACCGCATAGGTCAAACACCCTGCTAGTCTGTCTATGTTCAAATGCAACCAACCAACAGCTGTGGCCAATGTATAACTCTTGAACATCAAAAAACAACCTAGCGATCACATGCTCGTCCTGGCCCTCTAGGGCTTTCATAACGTCCAGGCAGATATTGCCCAACTTAAATCTGTCCTAGGTATCCCGACTTGGTGAACAAGCTCTGGGACACAGCAAACAACGCTTGATTGACAGTCAAAGAAATGCAAAAATATATACTTCAAAGTGTACAAAACATAAACAAGTATGAAAATTCAAAGCTCAGAAAGGCACAAAGTAAAGAGAGCTGATCATGCCGCTTGATTTGACCACTTGCTTGCAAATCGATGTACAGCAAATCCATGGAGTGTCAAGTCAGGATCACCATATCGTTGAGGAACGCTATGTCGGTCCTGATTCAGCAACGCTGTGCCGCACTGGCGCATGAAGTTCAGCAGCACGCCGCTCGCCTCTTCGTTGCCCTGTCAAATGATTCGTAACCGGTTGAAACGCAATGAACAAGAAAGAAGCGTGGGACTGTTAAGACGTCGTAAGACTCCAAATCCGGGTCCCACAGCGTGCGCCCCAAGAGGCTTTGACCCCCAAGAGTCCATGGATTCTTTGGGAAAGGTGCACCTCTGAGGCAATCCGGACCGTTGAATGAACCCAACCCCAACGCAACTTGGATCGGAAAAAGATTAAACAAAAAAATCCATTTGTAGAATAGCCTGGACTGTGAGAGGCAAACACATCATTTTGCAACCTGGTCGCCTCACCATCTGGGCTGAAGATTTTCAGCCTTTTCAGGGTGAAGTTCATGGAAAAAGCCTTGGCCAGCGCCTGGCAGCTTTGACAAGACTTGCATCAAGCAACTGCTTCAAGCAAACACTGTTCTTTGGCATGTTGGGCACCACACTGGACACCAAAACCGTGTGGGTGACATGAACAAATGGCAGCCAGCACAAATGCTCAAGACAAACCTGCAACGAAAACAAGCCCGCAGCAACTCAAATTTTGGCTGCAATAAACAGATGAAATCGGACTTGCGTCAACTGGACATTTGTAAGAGGCGTGAGTTAGTTGAGTTTAAGCTCGCTAAGGCCACCAAGATGTGAGTTCGCTGGATGGATTGTTGGCTGAGGTTAGTGCCAAAGTGCAAATTGCTGAGTTTGACAAAGCTCAGTTGCGAGTTATCTGAGTCCTAGCTAGCTGACTTGTGACAAAACCTAAGTTAGGTGCAGGCAAGCTAGCTTGCCTTGGCTCTCCAAGGGCTTGACAGCAACCTGCATGACCTCTGAAAAATGAGGAAACTGGTTGCGCTGAGCTTCGTAAGCTAAGCCATGATGCAAAAAAACACTTTGCAGTAAACCATGTACTATGCGAGCTGTCAGTTGTTGCCACTGAGCTTTGCAAAGTTCAGCTACTCTTACCTGCCTTCGCTGCAAGCTTCTCTAGCTCACCACTTAGTTCGTTGATAAACTGGCTCAACGTTTTGGGGATTCACGCTTCAGCTAGGTCACCTAGGTCTTGACCTGGCTACCTCAGAGCCACACTGTCTCACCCCCTTGCTAGCTCACAACTCTGCTCGCCCACTGCTCAGCCAACTCGATACTCAGCCAACTCAACCAGAAGCCAACTCAAAGCTCAAACAACTCACACTCATTGCGATGAGATGTGCTGTACGGATTGTATGTTCTAGAAGTTGCGTGACGTCCTGAGTACTGCGCCTCGGAGTTCAACAACCGGCTCTTTTGCAAGCGTTTGGCACACACCTTGCAACTTCCACCGACTCCAGCTCACTGGCCTGGCTAAAGCGCAGAACAACATGGGCTAAGCCTGCGGCGAGGGACGCCTTCTACGCCCCTTCTTTCCATTTAGGGGCTTACGCCCAGGCGGCAGAGGCAAACAGGTGAGAGTGGTGGCTTGTTGTTGTGCTTGTTGGTGGTGTTTGTGGTGGTGGTTGTTGTGGTTGTGACTGTGGCTTTGTTGTTGTTGCTGCTGCTGCTGGTGGTGGCTGTAGTTGCAGTTGCAGTTGCAGTTGCAGTTGCAGTTGCAGTAGGAGTAGTAGTAGTAGTAGTAGTAGTAGTAGGAGTAGGAGTAGGAGTAGGAGTAGGAGTAGGAGTAGGAGTAGCAGTAGCAGTAGCAGTAGTAGTAGTAGTTGTTGTTGTTGTTGTTGGTGGTGGTGGTTGTCATGGTTGTTGCTTTCAAGAAACAAAGCTAAAAACATAAAATGTAAAGAATGCACGGCAACTTGGGCAGCATAACTCGCACCATGGTGCCATCTTAAGCCATAGTAGGGGCACCTGTAGCATGCTAAAAGAACGGTAGATGAAACATGCGTTTTCGATGCTTCTCATGCGTTTGTACAAGAGCAGAAAACATTGGAATTGTGAGGGTTTCTAGCCTCTGCGTTTCCTTCCGAGCTCACTTCCTCCCCCCTGGCCCTGCGGGATTACCCGAAGTATACCTGCGCTATACCTGTGCTATATCTGAGCTCCTTGCCCTGCGGACAACCGCCTTGGGCGGTGGGGTCTGTGGACTTACCCAAGGCCAGCCCATGCTGGCCCGATTTACTGTGATGTTCAAAAATAATGACGTTCTTCGTAACATGCTTCGAGGCACCCTTCCCTCCTTCAAGATTGCTAAAAAGGCTAATGTGGAGTAGGTGGTGCGAGTTATGCCGCCCAAGTGGCCTTGCAACTGTTGTATGTTCTTTTTTGTGTTGCCCTTTCCTTGTACCAACACTTGGCCCGCTGTTGCGCGTCGCTAAATTCTCCTTGACTCGGAGGTTTCTTGTCTGACCTGCTTACGACAACCCTGTTTGTCCAAAAGAAATGTTGAAGGAAACCATGTTCGCACGCGTTCGGTGGGTAGTGGAACAAAGGGCAGGGAGGCGTGTGCCTCGAAGCCGTAGAGGCCAATCTCGCTGCTGCGGAGGTCGATGAATTGCACATTGCTGATCTTGAGCAGTCCAAGCACTCCCTCAGCCAAGGCCTAGCGGTGGATGAAGGATGAAGAGATGATTGGCAACTGAAGGGACCACAACGCTTGGAATAACATGACACACAGGAAGGAGTGAATATGGGCAAACAAGGGGAGAATGAAGAGCTTGGTTTCTCGCCTTCAAAATGTAACCAAAAGAGAAATCTGGCAAGCTGTTTGGTTTTAATAGTGAACTGCTGAGCAGCTGAGATTGCTCAGTGAACCCAGTGGCCTAAAAACAAGCAACACCAGAACTCCCAGCTTCAATGGAAAGGCAGCCCTGGGCCTGAGCCTCGACATTGCTGAGCCCCATCTTTGACAGGTCCAAAACCTCCGCCTGACAGTGTTCAATGACTGCTCCTTCCATTGAGGTCACGTGACCTGTCATGGCCAGTGGGCGTTGTTTCGACTGCTTTACCGTAGCTTCTTTTTTGGAAATGTGGTGTTCGACGTTGAAAGTGCCCATGTTAGGAAATCCGCTTGCGAATCTGATCAAACGGGCACTCAATCTGAAGACATTCTAATGAACCAAAGCATTGAAATGCTGAGAGTATCCTTTGTGGTAGGGCTTGTTGAGATCTGCCTTTGGCGTGCTGGCCTTTTTTTTGGTTCCTCTTTTGGCACCACTCGACTATAGGCACTGTACTATCTGAGACTTGTCCCTTTTCGAGCTGTTTGGATCAACTCTAGCGGTCTTTGCTTTTCAACGAAACATTTGGTTTGCAGCTTGTATCTAAGGCATCCTGAACAACTGGGGTATCTAAGCTATCTGGAGCTGTATGTGCTCATAGCATGTTCTCTGATTGGGATGGGTGAGTATATATCTGCAGCATCTTTGCCATTCATTAACAACAATTGAAACATTCTGAAAGGTGCAGTGACTCAATAAGAAGGCTGGCTGCAGCTAGGTGGTCAACACAGCCCAACATCTCCAATGCTGGTCCTTCTTCATTGTGGCTTCAAAAACCTTCGAGAAGACTTTGTTCAGCTTCGTCTCCTCCTCATTGCTGGGGTGAGGGTCAAAACATGTTTGCTTGACCACTTGGCAAGGAAAGGCGTCACCAAACACTATGATGCGCTAATACCCTGTCCCAGTCAGCAGCATCCATTGGCAAACAATCTTATCAGCTTTACACATAAGCCGCAAGTCACACAAGTGCAGGAGGCAGGAGGCGGCTGATGATCACTTATATAAGACTTCCTTGTCACAGCCGTGATTATGGTCGGCGGCCTGTCCTGCTTAAGTCTGTCCTGAGACTGAAGGACTGCGCCCCATTTGCGCATCAGTGCCAGGAGCGCTTCTTTCTCCTCTTGGTTGCCCTGAGCAGTCGAAATTAGGATGAAAATATGCTCTGCACATGTTCCGGTAACTATGGGTGTGGGTGCATCTTTCAAAGTTGCAGTGCAGCAAACCGGCACTCTGCCAAAGCACGCTGGACCCTCAACCTTGTGGTTCTGGGTCTGAACGCCAATGGAAATGTTGTCACGTAGGACCCCGGCCCCGGTCATGCAATGCACCATCTTCAAGCCATGGCCATGTTTGCAGTTCCACCGAGTTCAACCCTCTCGGAACGGGCAGGAGTATTGACAAAAAAAAGAAGTATATAAACTGAATATGGAACAGTCGGGCAAACTGTACTATTGGTGTTGAGTCGCTCAACATTCAACCCGCTTGAAAATGCCCTTAGCCTAAAAGCCCATAACTCTATCTGCTGGTTCCCATTGCTGACCACCTTTGGTTTCCATCACCCGCGCTCCGGGTCAAGCTTGCCTGGCTATCCGAGCTGAAGATAAGGAGCCCTTTAAGCAACTCATCATTCACTGACGCTTTGGCCAAAGCCTGCCAGCTCTGAACATTGCAAAACGCCGCATTTGCCATCTGTGTCTGCAAAGACATTGTTTCTCCCCAGACTCCCAAGTTTGTCTGAACACCCAGGATCCACGCGTGAATGAAAACCTCTGGAGGAAAACCGAGGGCACCTCTTGAACAGGATCGGCTTTTCACGACCAAGCGATAGTTGAAACATACTACGAAGTTGTGACTTTGGACCGCAAGGGACTCCTGATCGTGCGCTTTACGGATGGCGCCAGCACCACATGATGTTGAGTTACTAAGCAATTCACACGTCCCAAGTCTCAAGGAGTTGTTCCTTGCATATACGGCCGTAGGTCAATACCTAAACTCCTGAGTCAGGGTAGGTGAAGATCACCTGGAAGAGGATTATGGTCATGATTGGGATGCTCACTGGTAATACGGGGTGCGATAACCAACAGCCATATTGCATTTTCCACTTTCTGATGAATGAAGGAGAGCCGTGTCAAGCCTACATGATCCAGCCAATGTTCTCCATGCGGGAGAGGAATAAGAATTTGTTTTCTCAACCCGCAGGCGTTTTGCTCTAAAATGAAACCTTGAGGACTCAAACTCTGTCAAGGAAACGAAATACAAAGTCTTCTTGGTTGCCTTGAAGCCGTCGAGGCCCATGTCGTTATTGCGTAGGTCGATGACCTGTACTTTGCACTGGAGCACTCTGGGCAACAGCGGGGCCAGCTCCTGACAGAGCGTGAGGATGCGTGAGGTATGAAGGGAATCTGCAAAGTGTAGGCCCAGTGAACGTCAGCTGTTCAGGTTGGTCACCAAACTTTCACAACGAGCGGAAAGTGTTTGATCTGTTCAGTCATTTGTATAATTCGTCTAGTTTCAGCAGGAGAAAGCGAGCCGAGCCTCAACATCCTTGTCGTTGAGGTGCATCTTCTTCAAGTCTAGGAGCGTCTCCTCAATCAAGTGAATGTGGCCAACTCTAAACCGACCAGTGTAGGAACAGGGTAGCTCCCTATCTTCCATACGCTGCCCTACCCTAAATGCAAGAGCGGCATGCCCGCCCAGTGCCAGCTGCTGTCCCTCTGGCAAAGGGCTGGTGGAAAGAGATTGCCTTACCTGGAACTTGCAAGTTCAAAACATATGCGTGCGATTGTGCGATCGTCTATATTAGACTCTAGACAATCAACATGAATGAGTTATCACTTGGATTTTAGATATTATTCGGGTCACACAATCACAGAAAGCAAACTGCAGCCAGGTGGTCAACAAGAGTCCAACAAATCCAATGTGTTGCAGAAAGCAGCAACAAGACTATCCTACAGTCCTTCTTTATTGCGGTTGCAAAAACCTCCTTGAGCACACTGCTCAGCGTTGTCTCCTCAATGAGTTGCGCAAATTCTCGGTCAAAAGCGAGGTTTAACAGTCGCAGAATCAAACAAGGTGCTCAAACAATTGCCATTGTTCCACTAACTGAAGTCCAGAAGGTCTCACCCAACAGCTGCTGTGCTGACACGCTGTATGTCCCAATCAACAGCATCCACACATCAAAAGCTATGCTCTCACTCCGTAAGGCACAGGTTGATGCAATTCCCAGGCACAACAATAAAAGAAACGGAGTGGAGTGATTGCGTCCACCCACGTGATGATCACCCAGTAACAGTGATAGCCTGTCTTGCCCATGGACATCTACAACCGAGTTTTAAAGGAACTGATGCGCGCCTGTCCTGATGATGAAGGGCCCTACCCCATTTGCGCATCAGCGCAAGAAGCGATTTGTTAACCTCCTTCTCATTTCCGCCCTGAGCTGCCAAAACTCCGACGCACTTGACCACATGCTCCCTCTCAGGTTACCCCGCACCCTGCCATGCAGTCCTCCTACTTACTAAATGCATGGGGCAGTGCTGCGGGAAACCCGACTCTGCCAACAGGATCATGCACACGCTTTACACCTTGGAGAGTCGTCAATCTCGGAGCTATCATTGAAGCGGCATTCTGGTTGCTTTAGGACTCAAGGATTTCAAACCGGAATTGAACGCCCCCGCTTCCTACTTCACCTGTCTATTTAGCTTTCCACAGGAATCAAAGGAGTCTCCGAAACTCTGAAAAATAAACAACAGTAGCACTGTGGACAGCAGCTGCCTTGACATAAGTTGTTTCCCACTGCTGACCACTCTTGCTCGTTATCTTCCCAGTTCCAGGGTGCCTGGATATCATCGGAAACGATATACAGTTCTTGCACCGTGGCATGCTTCGACAAAGCTTTGGCCAAAGCCTGGGCCATTTTGACTGATTGAGAGAATGCTGGGAGTGTTTGAGGCACAAAACTACATGGTCCGCCGCTTCTAGACGGCCGCTTTGTTTCGGGACCATTTCTGGTGCGTTAAATAACATGTTTTGTTAACATTCCATGGTGTTTAGCGGTTCTGTGGTTGTTGAGGGGTCTGGGAAGCAGAGCTTTTGGGTTTGGAAAACTACTTTGCATCCACATGGTTTATTGATGTGATTTAGAGATGTGTGTGTGTGTCCACACCTGTACCAAAGGAAAGGACACCATTACATGCAAGTCAATTCAGGCAGGGGGCCGGAGCCGGGTCGGGGGTCTCCGGCCAATGAAGACACCCCCCACTTGGGTGCAAACGTACCTGCGTTTTTCCAACATTTTAACTTTTTAGTATTCTAAAAAGCTAATGCGCTCTAAAGTGCTAATGCATTCCCTCCGTCTGCTAGGTATTCAGTAAAGCGGCTAATTCATAGACGGTCTGCTAGGTATTCAGTAAAACGGCTGATGCATAGGGGCTGCAGACTTGCACCAAACAATTGTTCAAAAACCTTCAAGTCTTCTGGGGGCTGTGGTGTGATCCCCATCGAGGGGCGCAGCATGTGCATAGACCCAGATCCTGGGGCACCCACCCTGATTGCTTCGTCTCTGCACTGGGACTTCGTTCTGAAACCCCCTTGATTGACTGCTTTGCACGATACCACTGATACTACGCCGCAGGGCTTACTGTGATCAAAATTCCAATCAGGATTCTTGCATACGGCTAAGTATTCACATGTCCACGTCACGCTGCTAAGTATTCACAGGCCGGAAGAGAGCGAGAAACGAGAGTGGGTTTTTTGGTCCGATTGAGCTTTGCTTTCCTGCTGTTGCTGTTCTTTTTCTGGAAGCCTTTCTTTAGGTTTCTTGAGGCTTCAACCAAAGATGCGCCAAACGCGGTTTTACTTGACGCTGCTAAGTATTCACAGGCCGGAGGAGAGCGAGAAACGTGAGTGACTTTTTTCAGCTGCATGCGCTTGTCATGTTCTTGAGTTCTTTCTCTCTTGCTGTCGCTTTTCGTTTCTTGAGGCCTTTCTTTAGGTTCCGGGTGTTTTTCAGAAATGGGTCCGCCGTCCCCATAATCGGCTTAAATGTCAATGATGACAGCCTTCGGGCCACCCCTCCCTGCCCCAGGCCTCCGTCGCTATCCCACCCGCTATTTAGTGTGTTGGCACCTTTCCTTCTATTTCTCCTGTCCTACCTCTAGCTACCCGGGCGGTATAAGAACAAAGTCCCGCTCGCTAACTTCTGCACGTATTGTAACTAGTGGGCCTCGTAACTACACCTATCTTTCTTTCTTTCTTGCCCTCTTAGTCTGCTTTTGTTGTGTTTTCTTTGTCTGTCTTTCTAAGGCTTTTTAGGTGGCTAGTAATTTTTCCGCAGCGCCAATATTGGCGCTATGTGCGCAAAGCTATGTGTACAAAGTTGTGTACAAAGAGCGCACCGATTACGGCCTTGCGTTTGTGTATGTATCCATACATGCGCTTAAGGCTTTGCGGCACAAACGACGCTAGTCGGGGCTTCTGGCATCGGTACTAGGAGCAAGGACGGTACTACTAGGGGCCTCTGGCCGTTCTACGGGGAGTAAGGACGCTACTAGGGGCTCCTGGCCTCGTTTGCAAGCAGGGGAGAGCGCACCGAGTACGGCTTCGTGCGTGTGTCCACACCTGTGCCTAAGGTTTTGAGTCACAAAGGACGCTACTAGGGGCCCCTGGTTTCGCTACTAAGGGCTCCTGGTATCGCTATTAGCATGCAGTTTGTCAGTTTTTCAACATGTTCACTAACCAGCAGGGGAGTGCGGCGTGATTGTGGGACCGCACTCAACGAAGCTAACACAATCACGGGATAAAACAACTCGGCGTACCTGCCACAATTTTTAACTCTAGGCTCCTTCTCGTTTCACCAAATGTTAAACACTTCAAGTAACGCCGACTCCTTCACCATTCCGTTTGCAAGTCAAGGTCTACAATGCAGGGGGTAATGTAATCGTCTAAAGTGGGACTTCATACTGATCCTAGCTCTTGCGAGCAACCATCTAAGTGTGCGCGCGTCGCCACAGAGTCCCACTGCGGGCTGTGGTGTGATCCCCAGCGAGGGGCGCAGCATGCGCACATGCCCTTAAGGGTGACCCTTCCCTGATCCCCGGTCTTGCGCTGGATCCTTCCATCGTGAACCTTACTTGATCCTTCGTTCTGCTCGAAAGTGCCGACCATACGCCGCAGGGCTTACTGAGATCGAAACCCAGCACAGATTCTCGAACGTGGCTAAGTAGTCATGTCCACGTCATGCGGCTAGGTAATCATAGGCCATGCTGCTAAGTATTCACGTCTTTTTGGTTCTTTCTTTCCTGCTGTCGCTTTTCGTTTTCTGTGTCTTTTCTCGGTTTGTAGAGGCTTTGTTGGGTGTAACTGAAGTATTTTTAAGTCAAGCGAGCGCCGATGACTGCTTCTTTTGCCAGTGCCTTCGGGCCAGTCCTTTCCACCCGACCCCCACCCCACACCCCCTGCACCCTTTCTTTCCTTGCCTTTTTCGTTTGTTTGGGCTTTCCTTCAGGCTTGTTAGGTCGTCGCTTAGGCTCGTCGAGTCAATGCACGCCCTGCCCACACCCCAGCACCCCTTGCACCTTTCTCTTCCTTTCTTGCCTTTTCGTTTGTCTTGTTCTTTCTCTCAGGCTGGTTAGGTTGGCAT